GTTAATTTGCAAATATTTTGTATTCTTTTACAAGGTTCAGTTACTAGTTCCCAGTTTTGAGCTTATCATATGATTTACAAAAAAATATATTCTACAATTTTGGCTTAGTGTTGGAGTAAGTAAGCTTATATTTTTTTAAGTTGTTTTTTGTATTTCATTGATGTTGTAACGTTTTTATTGTACATTAAATAATTTCCCTTATTAATATATAAAATTTTAAATAAAACTCAATAGAAATTGTAACTGAATTTGAATAGTTTTGGAAAGCTACAGAAATGTACAAATATAAATTAATAAAAAATAGTAAATTTTAAGAAAACTTTATCTTCATAAAATCTCATTCCTAATAAAAATAAAATGCATTCCATAACATAAATTTATAGTTAAAATGAAAGCTAAAATTTCACATTGTATGTATATAATGTATTTAAGTTTATGATACAAACAAATTATTTTTCAGTAAAATAAATTTTTAACTAAAACTATATATATATATATATATATATATATATATATATATATATATTAAAATTTAAATCGATTAACTACTAAAAATTTCACATATACCTTAATCAGTATTTATAATAGGGTTTCTCAATGAATATAATTTCTAAATAGAAACTCAACTAATACTATTACATTTCTCAAACTAATCCTAACAAAACAGTTCTCTTCTATACATTAGTAAGGGTGAGTATCCTCTACCATACTAACTTTTATTTAATTAAAACAGTTGAAATAATATAAAAATTATTATCGCATAAAACATGCATCAACATGGAAAGGATTCATAAAACAATTCTAATTAAATAGAGAACGAATACACATATTATTTATCACTTAATTAAATACATTCAATTTATCTTTTATTTAATATAATCAGTTTCTCACTTAATCAACATAATCATTCAATATCTAAATTCATGCCACTTTGTTCATTTCAATTTTTGAATCATTCAGTAAATAAGACTACTCCAAATACTCATAGACCCCTAAACTGTTGTCAACATACTTTTCCTAATTATGATAAACTTATGCTAGTATGGATATTCACCGTCAACCACCACACACGAATACAATGTTGGCTTTATTAGGCATTCATAGCAAAAATATAGTCAGGAGATCAGGCCATATGAATGTTTTTGCTACCAATTATGTACGCATAAACTATTGGCATTCATCACCATCATTTTCCCCACATTTCATAAATAGCCTTCGAATTCTATACCCTCAATGTAGCTCTAAACTATCCATACCGTAACAGAGTGCCACATCAAAATCATATTGTCCCAATACATGTGTTACAATCACATTAATCAATGTATTACAACATATGTGTTATAATCTCACTCGTCGATATATTACAACACATACTATAATCACATTAATCCATGTAATTATGACACAAGTATTACTCATCATTTTCTCTTTTCTCATATTCTACTCAACAATTCTCATAATCTTCATTTTCTCAACATTTTCTCATGACACACATTTTTATCAGCATTTTGACTAATAACATATTTTTCAACAATTCACGGATATTCATATCAACTTTATTCATTTCTTTTTACTCATTCATTTATTGAATCATGTATACATTACAACATACCCCAAACTTAGTCCACATCACATATGCCAAAGGAAAAACATTTTAATTATTCTATTAAATGAAGCCTGTTAAAAATACACGTATGCAGACTTAATCCAATTCATACATATGTAATAAAATATCTTATACGACAATTAAGATTCTTAATCCAACATACAATTATAAAATAGGAAACATATCAACATAAACCCAACAGAGTGCACCGAGGTCGAACACCTTTGGACTTGACTAGTCGTGCATTTCATAAATATTTTGTCAGAGATCACACTCTCTATGTCTTAATAAAAATCATCTATCCTGAGGTTTAATTTTTTTCCTAGCACACTTATTATTCTTAATAATAATTCACACCCTGTAAATGTTCAAGCATAAAAGTTATTGCTAAAGTTGTAGAACTTATCAAAAATTAGTTTTCTAAATAATTCTTACTATAAAACTTTACTCAATTAGTAATAAAAATACATATAGGTTTTACATGTCCACAAATCCATTTTTACACTATAATTTTTAAGAAAACATTATGGATTCGCCATCCTAAGTAAGAAATTTGGAATCCTAAGCCAAATACATGTAAATCAAAGTTAGGGTTTAGGATCAACTCCTCTTATTGATGTTTAAAAATCGATTATTTGGCAAGTGCACCCATTGTCAGAGTAATATTACAAAAGAATAGAGTATCAAGTGTTGTATCCACAAAGACTGTTACTAAGATTTACTTCCGTGATTACCACAATTGTTAGCGAATATAAATAAAGAAATTGTGTTAATAAATTATGCTAACCTAAGAAATTAATAATTTTAAAAGAAACAGATTTCTATGATAATCAAATCTAGAAAAATATAACTAAGTGTATTAAAGAAAAATAAATGAGTATCTAGATTGTAAATCCTCCTAAGTGTCCAAATAACTGAAATTCTCCTTCACCTACTTAGTTCTAGTCCCTTGTTGTTGCAGGAATTCCTGAAATAAACCAATACCTTTCTTAAGGATAATAGTTCCTAACCTTCGGTTGAATAATCGGAATCCCTTCCTTAATTAGTTCCCCTAGGTTGCATTAAGTTCATTATGAATTTCATTATTAGGGTTATTCCTAATATAGAAAACTAATGTTTTTCTATCTATAGAAATACATTTAAGTCCTTTTAATTGAGCAATGGTAATTTCATGTAAGATTTTTACTCAAAATCAAATAAGAAAATAAGATAAGAGATAATTAATACTACTCAATTAAACTCAGGAGAAAAGAACATGAATAGCGTTAAGAAGAATTCCAGAAGGTTTGGTCACATAGGATTCATTACGTCTAGATACTCAAAGGAAAATTAGAACCTAAACATGTAGAAACTACAATTACAAAACAGAGAAATTAGAGAGCTTTTTTCCATTCCCCAGCCGTCACTGACTCTTTCTTTTCCCAAAACAGTGTGCCTTAGGTTTTTGTGTCAAGTTTCCTTTTATATGAGTAGTCTAAGGGCTCATCTTCTAGCAAAAGTTTAATTCTAACGTACGTTAAAAGTACACGTTTTAACACCTTAACTTTAATTTCAAATAAATAACAATTTCGCAAACTCGAATAAAAAATTCCATAAAATATTTCAAGAATGAGGAAGGGTTACAAGTTCATATAAAATAACTGCCACAGGGCTAGTTCAAATACAATAATTTCCAACTATATAATCCTAAGCCCTATAGCAATTCATCCGTCCATTCACTGAGTCTGATGCTGATCGTCTTGATTACCTAAAAAAAATGAATGTAAGGGTGAGCACTCTACACTTACCAAAATACACAATCAACTATAGAGTCTCACCTTCAAACTACTTTAAATACACTTAAACAAGCATATGAAATATACTCACGAGCAATATTCCAGTACAATTTCATTTTAACTAAACATCGGTGCACTTATGGCACCCACAACATTTCATGTTCATAACTCACAGCATATTACACCAGCATTGGCACGCCCCATCACCGTATTTCGTACCGGTAATTACTCGCCCCATTCACATTGTTGTACATTGGCGGCAACCCGCCCCCTTCACATTGTTGTACACCGGCGGCTACCCGCCCCATTCACACTATTGTATACCGACGGCTACCCGCCCCCATAACACTATTGTATACCGGCGGCAACCCACCCTATTCACATTGTTTCATAATACATGGCACATAGCCTACTTCCATTCTATTCTACACATAGCCTATATTTATTGTATTATACAGTCCTCGGGCCCACATTGGTTGACATTATTCATTCGAAATATACGGCACAAGTACCCATATCCATTCACACTATTCGGCATACAAGCCCACATTCTAACACACAACATTTACATACAATCCCTATTTCTTGATTTCGGGTAAATACACAAAATATTCACGTATCATGGCACGGGGTCCACATTACATTCCTCAGCAATTTCCTATTCTCTAACTCAACCACAACACAATATTCGACAAAATAACAACAAATTACGCACGAAAGAGTAGGGTAGAGTCCCCTTTTACCTTGAATTGAAGACCCACTCATGGATTTAGTCTCGAAAACGTTCCTTGCACGAATTTTGGCCTAAACATACGGGTTATTTCCCTGAGAACCTAGAAATCACCCCAAAAATAGAGAAAGGGAATGAAAAATAGAACCATAACCATTAAAACTCACCTCTAAGCGTTCCCCACATGAATCCAAGCTCCAATCTCACTCACGAATAGGTTTGGAGGCAATTAATCAGTGAGAAAAGGGTTTGGGGTCGAGGGAATCGAAGGGATCAAGGAGGGAAATTGAGAAAATGATTCTCAAATCCCTAAACCCCCTTTTAAAATCCCTCAAATCGCGACACTCTTGCTACAATGACGTCATCTCGCTACAGCGACACCCTCTATCGCTACAGCAAAAATCTCAAACGAAACTGCATTTTGGTTTCTCGAGAATCTCGCTACAGCGAGACCCTCTCGTTACAACGAGTCTACACCCAAAAATGCAGTCCCCACTGTCGCTCTCTCGCCACAGCGAGACACCTCTCGCTACAGCGAGAAGGCGACAGTTTGGTCCCCTTTTTCCCAGGGCACTCTTGCTGCAGCGAGAACACTCTGCACCAGCTACTTAGCCTATTCTTTCCAGCCCAATCCAGTCACACCCATACATTATTACCACACATTAAATGTCATTCGCATTCTATCATTTCACACTTGAGTGCACATTCAAACATTCATTCTCATATGAATATTCACACACACACACACACACACACATACACACACACACACACACACATATATATATATACATCAACAATAATGATTAATATTATCAAAATTCGGGGCGTTACAACTTTCCCCACCTTTAAGGAATTTTGTCCTCGAAATTCAACCAAACTTACTCAATTACGAAAACAACCCCAGATACAATTCCCTCATTCTACTCTCTGTTTCCCATGTGGCATCGCCCTCATCACTTGAGCTCCATATTACCTTCACTAATGAGATCTCTTTACCCCTCAGCTGTTTAACGTGGTGATCAGCAATTCTCACTGGGTACACGTCATATGACAAGTCTTCTCTCACTTGAACCGGGTTAAGATCAGTCACATGGGAAGGATCCGGCACATATTGTCTAAGTTGTGACACATGGAACACCGGATGTAGATTCGAGAGGTTCGGAGGCAACGCAATCCGATAAGCTGCAGGACCAATTCTACTCAGCACTTCGAATGGCCCAATAAACTTAGGAGATAGCTTTCAGGATTTCAAGGCTCTACCAACTCTAGTCACATGTGAGACCTTTAGAAACACATGATCTCCCACCTGAAACTCCAACGGCTTTCGCCTCCTATCATAATAACTCTTTTGTCGATCCTGGGCAACCTTCATTTTCTCCTTGATCATTTTGATTTGCTCATTCTGCCTTTGGATCATATCCAGCGAACACAGGGATGCCTCTCCAGTCTCATACCAACATAACGGGGTTCTACACCTTCGCCCATACAAGGCCTCAAACGACGTCATTCCAATGCTTGCGTCGTAACTATTATTGTACGTGAATTCCACCAGTGGCAGGCACTCTTCCCAAGTTCCCTACTGCTCGAGCACACAGGCCCTCATCAAGTCCGCTAGAGACTAAATGGTTCATTCAGTCTGACCGTTAGTCTGTGAGTGATAAGCCGAACTCAATCTCAATTTAGTCCCGCCCTTTGCAGACTCTCCCAAAACCTCGAGATAAACCCTAGATCTCTATCTGACACCACACTAGTTGGCACTCTATGCAACTTGACTATCTCCGGCACATACAACTCTGCAAGTCTCTCCAATTTATACTTCAAGTTGATCGGAAGGAAGTGTGCAACCTTGGTCAACTGATCCACTATCACCCATATGGCATCATGGTTGTTTCTGGTTCTCGGTAATCCAGAAACAAAGTCCATAGAGATGTTGTCTCATTTCCACTCAGGGATTTCCAATGGTTGCAATAACCCAGGCAGACGCTAGTGTTCAACCTTCGCCTTTTGGCAAGTCAGGCATCTAGCCACATATTCGGCCACGTTCCTTTTCATACCATTCCACCAAAAACTCTTTCGGAGATTCTGATACATTTTAGTCGCACCGGGGTGAAAACTCATCCTGCTCTTATGCGCTTCCTCAAGTACCATCTGCCTCAGCTCATCCACTTGAGGAATACACACTCGGTTTCAAAACTTAATCACCCCATTCTCATCACAGTGGAACTCTAATTCTTTTCCCTCGGCCTTCTGCCTCATCATGTCTTGCAGGAATACATCTCCCTGTTGGACATCTCGGACATACGCCAGGAAGTCATTATGGATTGTTGTTACCCCGAGATATAAACTCCCCGACCTCACCTCTATGGCCAAGTTCATGTCCTAAAATTTCTCGATTAATTCATTTCCTTTACCATCATTGCTACCACATGCAATGATTTCTGACTCAATGCGTCGGCCACCACATTTTCCTTGCCAGGGTGGTAAGACAATGTGAAGTCATAGTCTTTAAGGAATTCCATCCATCTCCGCTGCCGCATATTTAGCTCCCTCTAATCAAACAGATATTTCAAACTCTTATGGTCGCTGAACACTTCAAACCTCACTCCATACAGGTAATGCCTCCATACCTTAAGAGCAAAAACCACCGCAGCTAACTCCAGATCATGAGTCGGATAGTTAACTCCATACAAGCGCAACTGTCTTGAGACATAGGCAACTACTCGCCTGTCTTGCATCAAAACACAACGAGCCCATGCCCCGACGCATCATAGTACACGTCAAACTTTTGCTCTAGGTCAGGTAGAGCCAACACCGGTGCTGAAGTTAACCTTATTTTCAGCTCTAGGAAACTAGCTTCACATCCTTTAGTCCACTTGAATTCCTTTCCCTTGCGGGTCAACTTCATTAAGGGCAAAGCTATTTTAGAAAATCCCTCAATGAACTTCCTATAATAGCCTGCTAGTCCCAAAAAACTGCAGACCTCAGTCACATTGGTTGGCCTAGGCCAATCAGGCACTGCTTCCACCTTTGCAGGGTCTACGGTGATTCCTTCCTTTGACACTACATACCCCAAAAATTGGATCTCTGTCAGCCAAAACTCACACTTGGAGAATTTCGCATACAATTGCCTCTCCCTCAGAACCTACAGAACAACCCTCAAGTGCTCGGCATGCTCCTCTTGAGTCTTTGAATAAATTAGGATGTCGTTGATGAACACCATCACAAACTTATCCAAAAACTCGTGGAAGATCCTGTTCATGTAGTCCATGAACATCGCAGGTGCGTTGGTCACCCCAAACGGCATCACTAAATACTCATAGTGACCATACCGCGTCTTGAACGCCGTCTTAGGTACATCCTCATTCCTCACTCTGATTTGATGGTATCCTGACCTCAGGTCAATCCTTGAGAACATTGCGGCTCCCCTCAACTAATCCATCAAATCGTCAATCCTTATAAGCAGATACTTAATCTTGATTGTTACCTTATTCAGCTGCCGGTAATCCACACACATTTTCATGCTCCCGTCTTTCTTTTTCACCAAGAGCACTGGAGCTCCCTACGATGACACACTCGGTCTCACAAACCGTTTCTGCAGCAAGTCCTCTACTTGCTTCTTGACCTTTGTCAACTCCACTGGTGACATCTTATAGGGTGCCACAGAAATCGGACTCGCCCCGGGAATGAGGTCAATGGCAAACTCTATCTCCTTTTCTGGTGGTAATTCAGAAACATCTTCAGGGAAAACTTCCAAGAAGTCCCTCACCACCGGAATATACTTCGGCTCCACCACGCTTTCGGCCTCCATTGAGAACATGACCATGAAGGCCTTTGTGTTTACCGTGTTCTCCCACACTCTCTGGTTCATAAGCCTTGGAATCTCTGCCATCGTCACTCCGAAGATCAAAGTCTTCTCCCTACAGTCCAATAGCACATGGTTGGCAGCAAGCCAATCCATTCCCATAATTACATCCAGCTGAGAAAGAGGTAGGTAGATCAAGCTTAACTTAAACTCCCTGCCATGTACCATTATCGGGCATCCCAGACACACCTATGACATTCCCGTATTTATTCACATGCACATATATATATATATATATATATATATATATATACCTATACATTATTACCACATATTAAAATGCCATTCAAATTCCATCATTTCGCACTTGAGTGCACATTCAAACATTCATTCTCATATGAATATTGAAATATATATATATATACATCAACAATAATGATTAATATTATCAAAATTCGGAGCGTTATACACGTCCATGTACATGGCCATGTACTTTGACCGTATACATCTCTGATCTCTAACATTTGCCCTTCATAGCTTTTCTGAGAAGTACATGCTCATGTGCACAGCCATGTACTTTGATCGTGTACATCTCTGGTTTCTAACATTTGTCCTTCACAGCTTTTTTGGGAAGTACATGCTCATGTACCCGGCCATGTACTTTGACCGTGTACATCTCTGGTTTTAATGGTGTACTTCAATTGATGCGACTAGCAAATACATACTCATATACATGGGCGTGTACTTGCCCGTGTATATCTTTAGTTCTGATTATGTGCTTGATTGATGCGACCAGTGAGTTACACGCTCAGGTACATGGCCATGTACTTGCCGTTTACATCTCTAGTTCTTTTCTTGCTTCAATTCTCACTATCCTTTAAGCTTTCACTTCTTGATCCTTTTTTTCCTAAAATATGAATAAAATAGACTTAATAATAAATTCTTTTAATGAATAGCTCAAAAATCTCAATTATCATTCATGAATTACATTATAAGACCAAGTATAAAATGCATTTATCACTTACCTAGAAATAAGTTTCTAAGACTAAGTTTTTTGTGAGCTCGAGAGAGAAACTCCATGTCTTGACTAGAGACACTATCTAAAGGTTAGAGTTATTCCTAATATTACAGGGTAGAGTATTATTATAAAAAGATAAAATAAAGAAATAAGAATGAGATTCAAGAGGTAGGCTCCAAAAACTTACTTAGATTTGAGTGAAATCGACATTCAAGCTCAGATCTAAGATAGATTTAGGATTAGAAGGGGCTTTCTCTAAGAAGGGAGAGGGAAAGAATGAAGAGAACAAAGAGAGCTGATTTTGGTGAAACATAAAATTTCTCAATGCAAACTCTCTTAAGATACTTCAAACTCACATGTTTTGCTTAAGCGAGAAAAATAGATAATGATTTTTCAGCCTTTTTTTGATATTCTTACCTGAACAAGAGATATTCGTGTCTGAACGAGAATTGGTCCAAAAAGTTCCCAAATTTTCCTGCAAGACCCCTTCTCACTTGAGAGAGCCACTTCTCACGTAGGTGAGAAGACAGTTGGGACAACATTATTCTCTCTCGCTTGAGTGAAACTTATCTCACTTAAGCGAGACATATCTTGCTTAAATGAGACATATCTTACTTGAGCGAGATATCCTACACCAAGATTTCTATTTTTTCTCAAAAATAAGAAATAAAAATGAGAGTGTTACAGATGTCACGATCGCCAGATATTTATTACTAGACAATAAGTTAACTCAAATAATTAATTATCTATTGGGGTCCATATGAAGTTAAAAATTTATGAACAATTGAAATACATATATTTAATTAGGTATTTATGAGTTTTAAATATATAAACTTGTGAAATGTATATGTATAATAAAGTATTGTATGATTTTTTTACTTGAGGTGATTAGAAATATATGTTAAAATTTTAATTAAGATTTAAGAGTATATAACAAAGAACCATTTTCAATTAAGGGGTGACGACATAAAAAAAATATTTATTTTATTATTATTTTTACAAATTTTTCTTTAAAAAAGTGAAAATTACCCTAAATAATATTCAAGTAAAAAAAAAACACAATAAACCATAATAACTCACTTAAAGGTAAACTTCGACCAAAAAATTATTATTCTTAGTTTTAATTTCAAATTCAAATTTGATTGAACTCATTTTTTGTCCGCTATAAATTTAAGTGAACAATAATAAATAAAATTCTCTAATATTAAAATTTTTAAAATAAAAAAAATCTAAACTTACACTACATATTAATTCATGAATTTTTTTATTTAATATTCTAAATTTTAAATTTATTGAACCTACTAAAAATAGTGCAATAACGTCTTAAACGTTACAACTAAAAAATATAAACTATATTAATAATAAGTATAATAAGTCTAATTTTTTAACTATTTCCTTTTTACTTAAAATTAAAATTTTATTTTGATTATTTATGATAATATTAAATAAATATTCTGTATCGAGATAAAAGTTAATTAAAAATTACACTCTAATTTTGTCCATAAATAAACCTATGAAGATAAAGAAAAAGCATAATAATAAATACATAAATCTAAGCCCAAGAATCTTATTCTATGGGCCTTGGAAGGCCCACCATCCTCGTTTCTCTCCTTACTTTATTCTCGTTATAGTCCCTTCTTTCTGAATCTGATAATACCCTTCTGAACTTAACCGAGCTCAAAGAACTGAGAAGAGAACCTTTTTAAAAAGAATGGCTCACTCGGTAATAAGAAAATCTATAAAACCAACGAACCCTAATTTTCTGAGGGCACTCTCAGTTCACCAGATTCGCCGGCGGTTGGCATCTGTGGCGGCGGCGGACGAGGAGCAATCGCCGTCATCGTCATCGTTCACTTTTTCGTCGGAGGGAGAGAAGGTGTACCTGAAGGCGCCGGCGGGGAGGTGGAAGTCGTCCTCGTCCTCGTCCTCGTCGTCGTCGTCGGTGACGATGCCGATGTCGTTCATGACGGGTTCGATCGTGGGAAAGCGATTCTACAAAGAGGTGACCACTCGAGTAGCTGATGACGGGAACGGTTGGACGGTTATGCTTGATTACAGAACCCTAAAGACACCTTCTAGGAGACCCCTCAAACTTCCTACAGTTTATCTTGCCAAGGCAATTGCTGCTGAATGGGAATATCAAGTATGCTCCACGCGCCCATTGTCTTCTTGTTGCCTAATTCCTTTACTCATTTTCTTTTTCTTTTTTCTTTTTTAATTTCGATTTTTGTTAATTTTAAAGTAGAGTTTAAGCATTATATATATATTATAACGTTTTTATATCTCAATGTAATAAATGTCATATTTCTAATAAAAGTTTATTATTTTTTATTATTTAAACTCAACTCTGAGAAAAGTGTTTGTTAGAAAATTTAGGATTAGGAATGTATAAATTGGAGAAAAAGTTGGGGTAGTCCTATTGTAGAAAAGATGTTAGAATCATGCATTGAATAGTTTGGACATGTGTGAGAAGACTTGTAAAAGTGCTTGATACGGCAATCCTAAACTTGATGTACATTTTATACTCTCTCTAAATTGAGGGTTATGATTTCTTTAATATCTTAGAAATTAAAGAATATTTACGTTTTTTTCAAATAAATCACTAACTATACTCTGCTAATATAAAATTAATTATCATAATTATTATACGTGTAAGAAAGCATAAAATACTCTCTCATTGTAAAATTTACCACTTGTAAAAAGTCCATTAAGGAGAGTAAATCAAATGGAGGGTAGCCCTTGGTAAAGGTAGATGGAGAAAACCTATTGGTGAAACAATTAAGAAGGAATTCGAAGTTAATAATTTGTCTATAGACATGATTTATCACAAAAATTATGACGTTTGATTTATAAAGCTAGGAAAAGACTTGCTTATTGTTTTATGGCTTTTGGGTTTTGTACTCATTGTTGAGTGTTGTGTTGACTTTTTGTTCACAATGACTTTTAAGTAAAAGTTGTTACCAAGTCATAATGGCAGTGTTTTTCACAATTTCCTATAGGAGATATAGTTGAAGTAGAAGAATGTGATTTCCATTTATTGTAAAGGAAGTGGGGACAAAAAACAAGGCTGTGTAAAAGTTCATGTCTATCTCTTTTCTGTTAAGAGAGAGAGGTGAGACCTATTTAATGTCTATTTAGAGAGAGAGAGAAATTGATGCAATATTTGAAATATGACCTTGTTATGTTATGTGAACATTTTACTAAAATAAAGACCTGCTTAGGGAGTTAGACTTTATTTTCTGCCATGCGCATTGATAGCAATTGGACAGAACTGTAATTTCATCCAACGTATATGATTTTGTTATTTGAGAATTGCTATATGGTTATAAGACCAATCTAATGCCTTGACAACAACCACCTTTTTGAAAATTTGTAGTTCACTCATGCACTTACAGTTAGCTCATGGCTGCTTTTATCATAATTGCCTAATTTTAAATTCTAGAGCTGCCTTGTGTCTCTTATCATCCATCACACCAAAGAAAGATGCTTATTTCCCTTCGGATTTCTTGAAAGCTTTGAATTTCATTTCATTATCTTAAATTTTCCTCCAAATAGGGTTATAATAATTGAAGTCACTTGATGGGGATAATGTTGCTCATACAAGCCTCTCCTTTGTATGATTATTTAACCCTTAAATTGTCATTCAAAATCTATAAATGGTCTCCGTTTGAAGCTGCATATATTCTGTTTAATATATTTGGATGCTTAAGAGTGTCATATTTAAAGTGAACTGCTAATGAAGCTTGTTTTTGTAGCAAACGGATGGCATAAGACCCTTTACAATGCCTCTTATGAGACTTGCTTGCACTGCCTTGGAAAGAGTTCCACTCACAAGGACCAGAATTATTGACAATTTGATGAAGAAATTTAATCAAGATTTAGTGTTTTGTCGTGCACCTGATGACCAAGAGCTGACAAGCTATGTACATGGTATCATATTAGTTGATAGAAGATGTAAATACATGCTTAGTAATTAGAATTTGGTCAGTTGAAGTCATCATCTTAAAATTACCTTGTAAAAAACCAAAAATCTTTTTTGTGGAGCACTTTTAATCTACTTGTTTAGCTGATGTAAATACAACAATTGCTGAATTTTTTTTTCTTGCAATGTTTTTGTTCATCGAAGTTATTTGGGTTAAAAAAACATCTTACTAATTTTAAGTATGTGTGGATTTGAATTGGAAGATTCACTATTTGCAGATTGCCAAGTGGAGAAAATTGATCCTCTGCTTCGCTGGGTGGAGTCAGAATTTGGCTTTAAGCCTGTTGTATACTCCAGCATTTTTGGTGGAAAGCAGGAAGATGGTCTTGTAATGGCTGTAGAGAACCTTCTAAAGAAAGCAGATGATTGTGAATTGGCAACAATTGATGCTATTGCAGCATCAGCACACTCGTTAATTATTGCTATTGGAATGGTGCGTGGGAAATTGCTAATTGAGGAAGCAATTGAACTTATTAGACTTGAAGAAGATTTACAGGTACTTACATGACTATCATTCTAATCTGTAGCCTGATTAATATATATTAACAGGCATGAATGTAACCATGATCTGTGAAATAAATTGACTTGTTTTACAGGTGGACAGGTGGGGCCTTGTTGAAGGTGGCCATGATGTGGATATCGCTGATCTGAAGGTGCAGATTTCATCAGCAATTGTATTTCTTGGTTTGTCCAGAAGCATATAGGTTTATAACATCCTGTCATGTTTAAGCCACCATCCTAAGAACTAGCTATCAGGCTAGAATAGGAAATCAGTGTGTTGTAATATCCAGAACTTTATTGAGGCAATATTCTTGGGTACGCATAATTTGTTTTGTAGATGGGTTCTTATCTGGTTACAGTTTTGTCATAAGTTGAAACAATATAACATGGCTTTGCAGGGCCTGATTTCTCCTGGAATAAGAGGTAAAATTCTTTGTACAAGTGATTTCTTTCTGTTCTATATGAATTGGGAAACAAAGTTGTGGGTTGTGGATTGGAAGATGATGATGAAATATGGAGTGATACCAGGATTTTTTATGTTGAATTGACATTATAATTGGAAGTTTTTTGGTACGCTTCGACTGATTGATTGCTATATTTTTAACGATTCTCTATTTGTTTCACTTATTAAGTTCCATTACTCAATCAGTCTTTCATTCTGCTGGTTAGGCCGGCTCCCTCGTTGACAAACTTTGCGGTTATCTGGGATTGAACGCAAATCAAATTCCTTCACCTCTTTCTTTATATTTTAGGCAAAGAGCTAGTATTGTAAGAGACAATCCAAGTCCCTGGAAAGCTTCTGCATACTTTGGTAAAAGTTAAGTGTGAAGGATGCAATCCTTTTGGTTTTGTGAATACATCGTACCCTCGATGAGATAGTTTAAGTTGTCTTTTTTATTTATGGTGAGGGGGTAGGGTAAAACATCAATGGCTAATATGAGTTGATTAACTATAGTTCCCTTGTTAAAATTAACAAAAAACAAAAAATAAATCAACCATCCATAAGATAAGAAATCCCGGGTTGAATGCTCATCAAATCATGACCATGAGATTTTTGGGTGGAAACCGTACTAGTATCAAATTCAAAATGCAGCTAAGCAGGTTCTTTTGGGTTACTTCAATTTAAAAGTTCAAATGAATTCAACCTTTAAATTAGTGATGAAGTTGAAACGAAAAATATTTTTTTGAAAACTAAATTTAGTGTACAACAATGTGGTTCACTTGTTGCTAAACATACCTGTCCGTTTTAAGGATCTTCTTGGCAGCATAGTACACAAAGTGGTGGCAGTTTTGTGATGTCACAGTTGCAACATGCTGTGTCGCAATCATTGTTGCATCCTGCAGAAATATCATTTGCCTGTCTTGTAAGGATTTATGAAATATGCAATTTCTGTAGAGTAAATTAATATGGACCTTTGTAGCGTAGAGTTGCATGAAAGAATGTGAATTACAAGTTACCAAAATGGTTAAGCTTGTTGTCGTTTTCACTGCATTACCTGTTACAGTCACATATTGAGATGATTGGATGCCCTGAGAAATCCCGAGAATTGAAAGGCGAGAGCTACCTTGAACAATAAAGCCATGCTCAAAAGAAATCACGAAAACCATAAACCAAGCCACTGCCATCCACTTCATGACTGACGGTGGTGATATCTTTCCTTGCTATGAGATTAGTTCAATCTTATATTAAGTTTCCTCAATATCGTATTATATAAGGTTGTCAACTCTTGAAGTTCCGAGTTATAGGAGAGCTTAACCTGTTTTGATTTCAGATACGTAAATCATTAAATCTCTTTCACATGTTCATAATTTTATGTATTCTGTAATTAGATGTAATGATCATTCTTAAGTCGTGTTAATTGTGAATACACACATCTTCTGATTTTGAGTATACTGATTCCCAAATTAAATCGAAAATCCCTCATGACAATTCTATGCATCGAGCGCTTCATATTCAATATTTTTAGTTTGGTTAAGTCTCCTTTATATAATTGTGGTTTCAATAGAGCAACCATGGCCAACCAAACATGCACTCAACTACCACACTCCTAACACATCCACACAATAATAAAGAAACCGTAAAGATGAATCAGCTGTTGGCTGATAAAGACGGGCAGCAAATTATTATCAGAATATCAAATGGATTGGATTTTGATCTACTAGGTGTAATGTTTTACGCGAACTATCATTGGATTTTGATAAATCGTTTAATGATATCGTACTACATTAATTAATTCCTTTAACTATTTAAAGAACTATCAAAATAAACATTTTCAGACATCTGCCAATTCATAATTTGATAATTAAAAAAATTAATCAAATTAAACGTAATGCCAGGCAGCAAAACAATCATCACTTTGGCCTAAAATTTAACACGATTGGAAAGCAAGATAATGGCTGTTATGGTAGCATGAGGTGTGGTTCCAAGTGCCCAATACAATCACATGCAAAGCCTCCTATAAGGACGGTCAACTTCATAAAATAAAAACAATCAAGCCATTATCATGTGAAATCACTGGACTCGGTCAAATCAAATTCTTAAAAGATATTTATCATAAAAAAAATAAAAAAAACTTCTGGAGCGGTTAGTTTAAACTCATAATTTTCAGTGCAAAGTATCTTTTCAGAAAAAATCCAGGGAGCGAGAGCATTTAGCTTGTATATCCGGATACAATATAGCTAGCTAAAGCCACTTTATGAGATGGGGTCTGTTGGCTATTATTAACATTTATTTCAAAAACAAAGGAGGTAATATAAACTTAAAACCCAAGTTTTACAAAAGGGACACTCAGGTTTTATTAAGAATATATGGCTAAATCATCCCCAATTTTGAAGGAAAATCAAAATCCCAACATAAATGATCAAATGCAAACACCATCAAGCTCTAATAATAGAATTTCAAGCTTTTGGCTGAAGTGACTTGATATGTGAGATTTGCTTTCCTGGGTTCAACCCCTTAGGACAGGCCCGAGCACAATTCAATATGGTGTGGCAACGGTAGAGCTTGAATTCATCATTTATGGCCTCCAATCTCTCCTTAGTGTACTCATCACGGCTGTCACTGATCCACCTGCCAATTCCATCACACACAAACAATATGTCAGCTTTGAATAACACAACTGCCAACAGAGTCTTCCTGTTTTTTCCTTTTTGGGGAGAGGGTGGAAAGGAAGGGAGGTTTAGTCATTCCTTCGGCAGGCTGCTTGCAAATTGCAATTGCAGCCAAATTAATAAGGAATTTCAATAAAAATTATTGCCAATCTTTTGTTGATTTAACAATACCAAGAACTGGTAGTCAGCTATCAGAGATAGAATGCAGTAGATCATATGCAATGAGTTTAATGGAAAAGTCATCAGGTCTGAAGTGCTTACTGACTGACTTCGTAATTCAGTATACATCAGCTAAAGTTGGTTAAAAGAGCCATGGCAAGAAAACAAAGCGGGTAGTTTGTCATATTCTTACTAAAACCTATATGATGCTAAGCAACCAAAATAAGTCACATATACAAACAATGACAGATTGCAATACCACTGGTAGATATCCAAGAATTTAAAATAAACCTTGAAAAGGACTAAAAAAGAAAAGAAGATTAAAATAATTCATTAAAACAAAAAAAGAGGCAAATTAAGCTCCATCTAGAAGACTCTATAATAGGTACCAGAAAAATGCAGAAGAAACTAACAATCTCTATTATTCAAGTATCAGTCCTTGCCAAACTACCAGATCCTTTATAGCAGTACTTACAGGTATCATATAATATAGAAAATAAAGCGGTATTATAGGCAATTCAAGAGTGCCTGTACTCTCCTAAGTCCACCCTCCCCTTCCCCCTCCATATAACCTCTCTGTCAATGGCCCACAACCACTCATGCACATTGCCCCCAAGCTGCCAACTCAGCAGTTGGCTATGTATCTCCCTGGGATCTAATCAGATGCATCACACCTCTTGCTCCTCCTCACATAAAATTATGATATTTTCGGCTATGGATACAGGTCCGTAGCATTCTATTCAGCCCAAGTATAAGGAAAGTGTACAGAAATTCCTCTGTTGCCTTGCTTGTTTCTTAAAGAATTAATTTGGAAACTCTTGTGCTCCCCAAAGTACAGAACCAGTATCAACAACAGAAATTAAAATTAGTTACCAAATGGAATTAATGAAAATGTGCAATGCAGAAATATATTTAGAAGCAATCAATGAAGTCATGTAAGATCAGATTCTTTAAGCCCACAACAGCCTCATGATTTTTCTAAATGAAGGACATTCTATCTAAAAGGTACTTCTTTCATGAAATTGTGATAGTGCAGTCTATTGGGAGCATGCATTCCCATTATGTCCTCTTTTAGCCATTGCACCTAGTACAATTTCATACTGGACACTAGCATGCAGAAGAGAGAGAATATCTCTTGCTTCTATTGCATGAAGAAACGCCAGTCTCTACAGCTTATGGATTTCAAAAATGGGATTGAGGAACAAGAAAAAAAAGTAAATGGGAATTCAAGCAACTCTCATTTTCTCCTGGAGAACTTTTATGGTTCACTTGTTTGGTTCACTCTTGAGGAACAAGAAGATGATGATCCAAAGAGGTCCATCTTAGTGCACTTCCTAAGTTTTTGAACCATCCATTAAAGGGGTTAACATGGTCAGTATTTAAAAAGAGCAAAGGAAGACACTCTCCGAAACATGCTTAAATACTTTGTTTCTTTTATCTATCTCTTAAGATTAAGTGTCTAGTCCATCTCTAGTTAATAAAAGTCACCAAAGGGAACAGGAAGGTGAAGTTTGGTCATTCCTAAGCTGAGTAGAGTGCTATAGCAAGGTCTGATAAAATTTTTTAGTCAAGCGATGTGCACAAAGGAAAAGAAAAAAGAGAAGTGCAATTTTGTATGAATAACATTTAAAAAAACTCAGAAGAAATGAAGGCAATATAGCACATTCATAACTTTCTTGCATGACATTATCACGTAACATGCATATACATGGCATACATTCATACAAAAAAAACATGCATTTTTGCAAGATACAGGCCCCATGTTTTTGAAAGATGCCTCTAAGGAATGAATCTTCCTCAAAAACAGTGCACAAGACAAACGATAAAATTGCATACAAAACAAAGTGAATATAGAAAGAGAAACGAAAGGTCTAGGCATGACGGGTCAATAAACAAGGGGTTTTGCCTTTGAAGAAACGACATTACATGACAAATATCTGCTCCATTAGCTACCAAAAGTCAAAATCAAGCCATCACAAAGGAAAGATTTTAACTTTCACAAATTATATATTAATAATATTTCTCTGTTAACAGGTCCTTGCAGCATAGTATTAGAAAATTATATGAAACAGGTAAAAGGTGGGGTCAAGATGAGCATCCTTTGGAATGGTCGAATGAGAGAACGATGTTCAGTGAAAGCTTGAGAAAGAACAAGAACAAAATGAGTATTACATGGAAGCATTAATGCACTTAAGGAAGAAAAATCCCACTTAAGTGCAAAGGGGCTATTGATGAGGAGCAAAGCAGAATTCAATGATTGAACAACACAAGTACTTATTTTCTGAAAAACTTGGGAGGCAAAAGAATGATACCTATACAACATTCAAGGACACGCTCAAGTAAGTGGGAATTCAAGAGTGCCTTTGACTTGGAAGGCTTTCAAATAGGTCATGCTCTCCAAAAGGAACATATCACTCCTGGAAGTGTAGAAACCATTAGGGCGAGTGGCAAGAGTCCCAATAAATGCCTAAGTCAACTCATGTCCATTTAGAAATACCTTTTTACTGAAAAGGTACTATTTTGTGAAATTGTAACAATGCAGTCTATTGAGAGCATGCATTCCCATTAGCACAATTTCATCCTAGACACTGGCATGTGGAGAAGAGAGAATATCTCTTGCTTCAACAGCATGAAGAGATGCCCAATCTCGATTAGCATAAAATGCCTTTGTCCCATATGGCGTTTGATAAAAGGAATGGGGAACAAGAAAAAAGGTAAACAAGAAAAAGGCAGTGGTTGATTATAGTTGTATTGCTATGTTTTTATGGCAGGTGTGAACTATAATCCTTTCTCAACTGAAGCTTCAAATCTACCTCAACATAACAATACAATAAAAACATAGAATCCACCAAATATAATACTCAGCATAAATTAACTAACTGACAAAACAAAACACACGCACACTCAAAACCAATTTCCTCTCATGACCTCAGTTCCAACCAAGAAAATCAATGTGACAGCATACACAGTACAGAATCTTTGTAGTGGGATGCAAGCATTTAACAAAAGGTTAGAGTCAAATGGAGGAGTTTAAAAAAGTTTGTCACTAGTATTTTGAGAAAGAAAAAAAGAATTGGGAAAATTATAATGCAGTTCAGAGCTAGTTTGAATAAAATTCTCAAAAAGCATGCTGTTGAACAAGAATACAAGTTTTAAGAAAATAAAATGAATCAAAGTGGTGAAATAAATTAGGATCAACTTATTCACCTCAAATTTTCAGAAGCTTTTATTATAACTTTTCCATAAATTAAAATTCTCTTAATTATGTTCAACTTTTTATATTTATCATTAATAACTTCTCTCATACTTGACTCACATTCTAAGCATTCTTTATTATTGCTTTTATATTTTCTAGAATTTTAACCCCCCGGTCCAAACACAACCTTTAGTGTTTAAGGAAGCAATATAACTTCGACGACACCTGATACAGCGGTATCAGACAAGAAACGAAAAAGATCAAACACATGATTTTCATTTAAAAAAAAAAAAAAAAACACACGCACACACACACGGTTTTCATTGCATCTCTTTTAACCAAATCCATACGACAACACAAAAAAGGCTTCCACTGTTGTTATTGCATCAAACGACACGCCTAAACCACAACCCCAACTACTAGAAATACTCCAAATCCCAATCCCAATCCCAATCCCAATCCGATTAACGCAAAACGCAGAACCCAACAACAAAACTGCAAGTCAATCAATTCGAAACAAAGTGAAGAGAGAAAGAGCAGCATGATGTGAGCGTTATTACCTATTAGCATGGAGCAAAGCCGCGGGTCCAAGATAAGACTCAGGGTTCCACCAGTAACTGGGGCAGGATGTGCTACAGCAGGCGCACAGAATGCACTCGTACATCCCATCAAGCTTGGCTCGGTCCTTCTTACTCTGCAGGATCTCCTTCCCAGGAACCGGTGGTGGGTTCTTCCGCTTAAGCCACGGCTCAATGCTCTTATACTGGTTGTAAAAATTGGTCATGTCCACCACCAGGTCCTTAATAACGAACATGTGTGGTAACGGCGTTATCGTTGTCGCCGTTTTCTCCGAAGGAATTTTCGTAAGGCATGCGAGACCGTTACAGCCGTCGATGTTCATTGCGCACGAGCCGCAGATCCCCTCGCGGCACGAGCGACGGAACGTTAGGGTCGGGTCGATCTCGTTCTTGATCTTGATGAGGGCGTCGAGGACCATGGGCCCACACTCCTTCAGGTTGATCTGGTAGTCTTTGAGTTCGGGCTTTGATGGGTTGTCGGGGCTCCAACGGTAGATTTGGAAGGTCTTCAGGGTGGAGGTGTCGCGGGCCTTGGGCTCCACCTTCTGGGCCTGGGCTTCCGATGCGTGGGCCCGCAGGAGGGCCAGCTTGAACGCCGGCGACGATGGAATCCTGTGCACTGCCCTCTTCAGCAAGCCCGTCGCCATTGAAAAGAGAAATGAAAATGCCTGGTGAGACTGAAGGGAACAAAACGTGTTTTATGACCAAAATGGGTATCGGGGAGTGTTGTGTTGTGTGTTGGGAGGGATCGGGTGGTGATGGATTTTCACTATTTATATGAGGTTGTGGTATTGTTGTGAATTTGAATGGTGAGGGGGTTATTTTGGGAAATGAAAATTGGGTTTCGCCGATGTTGTCGTTTTCGGGTCATGAATTGTTTTCGGCTTAGCGGGTGTTGTTACGTGGTGAATTACGAGCTGCATCCAGTTTGATATTTTCCTGCGGTGCGTGTTCACCGTAGGCTCGCTTGGCTCTCTCCAGGAGTTTAAGTTAATCATGTTATGTTATTCGGTATCTACGACCGTCACTCATTTAATTACTCTAGGCAAAAGCTAATTAATATGGTAAATTTTTTTACGATACTTTATTAATTAAAAGAATTTTAGTAATTTTTAAAATTAAATTAATAAAATATAAGTATTATTATAATGTTGTTTTTATATATAAGATATTTATAAAAATAAAATATAATAACATTTATAATAAATTATTTATTCTTTCTAATTTTTTTAAGAAATAAATAAATAATTCCTTTAGATTAAAAAAATATATTTATATGTCATAAATTTATAATACATTTTAACAATATTTATAATATTAAATATTCAAGTTAATAATTTATATATTAAATAAATAAATATACCAATTTTTATAAGTAATGATGAATGTTATGTTAAAACAAATTTTATAATAAATAATAATATAAAAATTAATAACAATACATGTGAAAAAATTTTAATAATTAAAATATAAAGATATTAGTAATTATTTCTTATAAAAAGTATAACTTTTGAAAGATTATAATAACTTAAAATTTTAAACAAATCAAAAATATAATGCTGAATGATTATAATAATTAAAAATTAAATATAATTGATTAGTAGATAATTAGTTTTTTGCAACCAACATATTAAAATATAAATTTACTCTCAATTTGAGTAAGAAAAATGTTCCTAAATTATTTAGTTATATATATAAAATATTTACAATTTTTTTAAAATAATTATGACACTTTAGATAAAATAATTATAAAAAATAGTTATAATTTTAGAAAGATTGTTTTTAACTTAAAATTTAAAATATTAAAGTATGATATTAGGTAATTACTATAGTTAAAAATATTTCAAGCAATCAACATATTCCAAAACTCCATAAAGTCTTGTTCAAGTAACATTATTCCTTCTAATTCTAGTTCAGCAAATTCATATTTTTGAGAAAAAGTAACTTAAACTTGCACTAAGATTCTAATACTTGCAACCTTAATCATCTTATTTCGAAACCCGTGTCTTATCATAAGCTATTTCCAAAACATAAAGTCTTCAACTTTAGAATTATAATTTGTTTGTACCAAGAAACATTTAAAAAGGCCAAAATGTCTAAATCCAAAGTTAGTTGTTATGGAAGAAAAGAATGCTCTTTAAGAAAAATAAGACTTAAGAAACCATTAAAAAGAGAGAAAAAAAAAAGAGATTGATAGACTATAATTGAGTTTTCCTATGAAATGCAAAATTGATAGGAGCATAGATTGCTATAAGCTAGTAAGATTAGTTGTAAAAAGATTTATTCAAATTTATAATGTTTATTGACTATGAAGAAACTTTTACTCTTCTTATAGCTAATATTAACTCTATTAGAGTTTTTCTATTCTTTGTAAATGTTGATTGACCACTTCACCAATTATATATAAAGAATATATTCTTAAGCAGGAATTTAGATGAAGATTTTTTAAAGAGTCTCCTACTTAATTCTAGGAGAAAATTAAATCTAAGTGTATAAGCTAAAGAAGTCTTTTTATAAAGATTGAAATAGTCTGTAAGAATGTAATTTGAATGTATTGAAATAGCTATGAATTACCTTAATTGCTATCAGTGCTAAGATAATTATACCATTTGAATAAGCACCCATAACTAAAATTGTTATTTTTATTGTTTATGTTGATGACATGATTTGAAGAGGAAACTTGTTGCTTGTGACATTAAAGGAATTTAGTCATTCCTTGCGATATTTTTTTGGGATTAAGTTTGTTAGTTCAAAGGAAATACAACCTTTATTTGCTTGTGAAAAATAACCTAGTAGAATATAAGGTGGACGAGACCCATTAAATCAGGTGTAAAGCTTCAACTGTAATGCATCGAATTTTGTAAATTGCTGATTATTAATGTAAATACGCGAGTTATTATTTGGATGTGTGTATGTGTATGTGTATGTGTGTGTGTGTGTTTGTGATGTTTGGATGCATGGTTTGAATATATACGATGACGTGAAAGTGTATGACTCTGTGTGTGAGAGTATGAATGAGAATATTGATTTTGAATGGAAATTGAACGTGTTTGAATTGTGTTTGGGCTAGAATTGTTTGAATATATAGGCTAAGTGTGTGCTATATAGGGGTGTTCTCACTGTAGTGAGAAGGCCTTGGGAGAAGGGCATGAATCTGTTGCGCTCTTGCTATAGCGAGAGAGAGATAGAAAGGATGCATTTCTGAGTGCAGTCTTGTTGTAGCGAGTGTAACACCCTCAATTTTATTACTCTTGGATAAGAAAAATAAGAATTTGGATAAAAGATATCTCGCTAAAGCGAAATCGATCTCGTTCAAGCGACGTAGGATTTCCTAAAATAGAATGTTCTGGAACCCCTTGCTCAAGCAAGACGAGTCTCGCTCAAGTAAGAATGAGATAACATTGCCCCAACGGTCCTCTTGCCCAAGTGAGAGAGAGAACTTGCTCAGGCTGGGAGTAGCTCGCCCAAGCGAGATAGAGCTCGCTCAGGCGAGAAGTCTCAAGAAAGATAGGTGCTTTCTGGACTCAATATCGCTTAGGCGAGGTATAGCTCACTCCGACGAGATTGTGTCTCGCTCAAGCGAGAATATCAGAAAAATGGGGAGTCTCGTTGTCAGGTTGTCTCGCTTAGGCGAGGAAGGCTCGCTTAGGCAAGGATGGAAGCTCGCTCAAGCAAGAATCTTATCACTCAAGTGAGATCACGCGAGTTTAGAAGGATATTTAAGGAACCTCAGCCTCAAAAACGTTCATTTCTCACCAAATGACCTTCTCTTCATTTTCTCTATTTTTTCTCCTTCCTCTCCCTAAAGAGAACTCTCTTGGACTTCGAATATCTTCCAGATCCAAGCTCAAACATTGATTTCATTTAGATCTAAGTAAGTTTCTCAAAGCTCAAATATTTATTTTATTCCTTTTCTTTGGTTTTCTACTTATATTAAGATATTTCTCTTGAAATACTTAGGAAACTTCATCTTTTGGACGATATCTCTGTTGATATCGTGGAATCTCTATATAGATATCTCAGAAAACTAGTTTTGAGGAACTGTTACCAGGTAAGGGGAATATTCTCTAGCTTTAGTTTTATATATATATATATATATATATATATATATATACCAGATGTGCCCTAAGTGGATCAAGGTAAATAAAAAAATCAAAGAAAGGGAAGTAGGCAGTAACAAGACTACTAAATGAAATGTAGAATGATAAGTGCAGAAGATTATATATATGTAAATTTAAAACATAAGAAACTAGAACGGCGGTAAAACCAGCACAGATTTAGTGGAGGAAAAAGGGAAGAAAGTCAGACGATGGTAGTCCGAACAAAACCGACTAAGAGGGAGAAGAGAGAAAATTAATTTAAAACAGCAAACTTTTATTGAAAATCTCAAAGAAAAAAGGCTTACAAGGAATGTTTCACTCTGAGCTTCTCTCTCTAAAACTCTCTAAACTTCTGTAAATGTAAGGGTGCCTCACAACATGGTTGAGGACTCCTTATATAGAAAATTTAAATACTGTTACTACAGTTCTGGTTAATAACTGAAACTATTCCCTACAGGATAAGTCAAATTTCTTGTATGTTTATTTTGAAACAATCATCTTTATTTTGACAAATGTCATCATTATTTGTCTTGGAATCTTGTTTTGCAGAAGACTCAGCTTCATCTTGATTTAAAAGGAGAAGCACTTCTGTCAAATTTTTCTTCATTTTCTCTTTGGAATCGCAACTTGATAAGAAGGCAGCAATCTTGGATTTCTGATTTAAGAATTGAAATGTTGTTGGATCAGCAAGGTTTAAAAGTTTTGGATTATTTCCAAAAAATTCATTAACTCCTTGAGGTCCTGCATGATCTGCATTAAATTGAATCCACCATTTCGCAAAAACATGTCTGTGAATCATAGGAAGAATGTCATCATCCTCTGTTTTGCTGTATTTGTATTACCAAGAGAATATCCAGGCCAGAACAAAGGCAGAGAAATATTTGAGATCTGCATTAACTCGGTTGGGAGCATATCTGGACTTGAACATTTCAAATCCTTCTTTCACCGGAGAAAGAAGAATTGCTTCTATAGGACCGAAGAAGTCCCACCATTGAAGAAACCAGTTTGGAAAGTTATAATCTTGATTTTTCTTAAAATAAATCAACCAAGAGTGTCGATTGAGTTTATTTTAGAACCAGAAAGTTCTTGTCCAAGCATCAATATAATCCCAGTAATTGTATCCTACTAGGTCAAAAGGTTGCGAATTTTTTTTAAATGAATTTAGGTCTTTTTCGAAATTCTTTGGCGTTAAAACTTTAAGTATCTAGATTGTAGAATGGGTAATAATTGAGGGATCTTTTTGGTCCTTGTAATGTTTAATTGAAACATAATCTGAATCTACCAGAATAAATTCATAAAATTGTCTGGTTTTATTTAAGGCATATGGTCTAAAATGAAAACCAGAGGGAAACACTTTAGAAATTGCTTTGCATGGATTTTTATCCCAGAATTCATATTCCATCTGGATTACTGAGGAAAATTTTCCTTTAGCTAGGTAATGGGATGTATTTTGAGTGGGTTTTTGTATTTGTTTGTCTTTTTGAAGAATAGCAGTTTTACTAGTGTCTTCTTGGGTAATTGTTTTGTTTAATGATTAGACTATGGTATTTAGGCTGGATAAGTCTAACTCCATTTCGTCTTCAGAAGCAATGTCTGCCCAAGATTTGTTTGGTAAAGTACTCAGGTTTCCTTGTCGGAGGGCCAAGAGAGTAATTATAGGTAAAGCATAATCTGTTTTAGTCTATTTGGTTATTTTGGTTTGAGAAGAATCAGTCTTTCTAGAAGATTCTTTTGGAATTCCAGATTGCTGAGTAGATAACTCAATAATTTG